CCATGTCACCGCAGAAATACCCATTTGTTTTTGTTTTTTCCTATTGTGGTTTAGATGAGCGGTTACTGAGCATTTCCAATAAATAATGCAAACACGTTACGGTTGGGTGACATTACTTGTGATTCCCTCATCATCATAGCGCATTTCCCACTCCTATCCGGGCTGTCCTTTCGAGTGGTCTCTGTGTCTTGCCTTCTGAGCTTGGCATTTGGGCAGATGTTGTAGGTGGGTCTGCCTCGGTGATCATTCTGAGTAGTATGTACCTCGTGGTGTCACCATTCCCTTTATACACCGGTCGACTGTTGGACTGAAAAGTGATTCCCAAGCACTCGAAGGGCCCACCAGTCTCCATCAGACCAGTGTCTGGCCTTTTTTTTATGACTTTGAATTTTTTTCCTTGCATGTGTTTCTCCCTCTCTTTCCAGGACCTTCTGCTGTGATCCCACAATGCAATCCGAGTGTAAATAGTGGTAGCCAGGCACCATCTGGCTCTTTTGGTTTCAGGGCAGTGGAGGCCACGGTCCATGAGTCACTGCTTCTGTGAGTCTTTGATGCCCTTCATGCCTCTCTGCTCCAGACCAGAACATTCCAAGAGTTGTATCTTAGATGGCTGCTCTGAGCCGTTAAGACTCCAGTCATTAGACCATAGAACATGGTCTTTGTGAATTACCTTTTGCCCATTGACCTAGTTGTTCCCTCAGGCTGTGGTCCTGAGCCTCCAGGCCCAATGGCGCTTTCTGAAAGAAGAAAGGCAAGGAAGTTGAGAGCTTGGGGGTGCTTCCAGGAATGTCACTGCAAGCCAACTCCTGCCAGCCTGTCCTTGCTCTTGCTTTGGTAGCATCACTCCTGACAAAGGAGGCATAGTTAAGGGCAGCATTCATCTGTCTTCTCCCCTCTGTCTTTACCAATCTCAGGGCGAGTGTTTGCCTGGACAGTCCCCGTTTTAACACTGCAAGTTCAGCATCCGGGACAATCGCTCAATCTAAGGCAAATCAGGACAGCTGGCCACCCTAGCTGTTTTGTGTGCAGAACCTTTGTGACTGGCAGTCCAGCAAGGTCCCTGTCCTGAAACTTCTTTGACAATGAGGGTGTGGATAGTAGTCATTGCTTCTTAGAGCCACTGCAACATACAGTACCTCAAATGGGTGGCTTTAAAGAGAAGACCTTTATTCTCCTACAACTCAAGATACCGAGGCATACATTCAAGGCACTGGCTGTATGAGGAGGCCCCCTCTCTGTGTATCAGCTCTCTGGAAAGGCCCTGGCCTCCTTCAGCTTCTGGAGCCTGGAGTTCCTTGGTTCCTCCCTGGGGCCTCCAGCTTCGCCTCTGTGTCTATGCTGTGCTGCTCCTTATAACTCAAAAGAGATTAGGACACCCTCAGTGTTGGAAGAGTTTCACTACATAATAACGAAAACCTCAATTGCAGACAGGACTGCACCCACAGGTAGGCTGTTGTTGCCAGGGGCCTTCAGTTAGATCCAACCCACAGTGCCCCTGTAGGCCAACACAGTTCTGCTCCCAAACGTCTCCAAAGCTGTGAATCCGACTGCCACACCTGTCTCCCCCGGAGTGGCCAGTGGGCTCGAACTGCTGTCTTTTGGGTTAGCGGCCAAGCACTTATTTTTCATGTTCTTCAACAACACCATAGTTCAAACGCATCAATTCTTCTTTGGTCTTTCTTATGGATGGTTTATCTTTTGTGGCATCTGAGGTAGTAGAAACACCTTGCTTTGGGTCAGGCACACCTTTGCCCTCAACGTCACGCCTTTGCTTTTCTTAACACTCTAAAGAGCTATCTTGCAGGACATTTTCCCAACGCAACACATCTTTTGATTTCTTGACGGCTGCTGCTTCCACGGGGAGTTGATTGCGGATCCGCGTAAATGGAATCTTCTACAGTGTCAACATTCTCTCTGTTGAGCATGCTCTTGCTTACGGGTCTAGTTGCGAGGGTTTTTGTGTTCCTCATGTGGACACGTCCCCGTCGCGATGTCTGCAGTCGCTGTTCATCAGTAAGTGCATCAAGGCCTCTTCTCCTTCAGCAAGCAGCGTTGGGTTGTCTGTATCCACAGGTGTTCAGTCGTTAGGATTTCTATCCATTTGAGAGGGCTTCAACAGTATGTGAGAAAAATCCAATCATTCCATTTCTCCATGAGTTTTTGAAGCTCCATCATATTTTGTGTGTATGGTGGTGGTAGTGGTGGAAGCGGGGTGAGGGGGTGGAGCATAATTCAATCCCTAACTAGCCCACTTGGCTTCTCACACACGCTATCACTGGACCTTGAGATGTCTCCCCACACTCCTCTGTCTCTGGAAGACGCATCCAGCAGCCTATGCCTGCGGGAGAGCCGGGGAACATCACAATGTCAAAAATAGAGGCTCCTGCACACATAGCCTTCTCCCCAGCAGCCTGAACGCCAACTGTGAAATCACCTTGTGCTATCAGTAATCCAATTTCTTTTTCTGGTGCATTTGACCTAGCTGCCTTTAGATATTAAAAAACAAAATGCTTGCTTTGACAAGGAAGGGTTTCCATGTACCCCAAGTGGTAGACCTTCCGTGAACCAGGGCCTGAGATCGTGCCTTTTGGCCCCCTTCCATTGAGTAGTCTGTTCTCTTGTCTATGGCGAGTCTTGCAAGACAAGGGGGACAGCTCAGGAGGAGCTTCTTTACACGTGAGTTCAACAGACGTGCGTTGCAATCCTGTGTGTCTCGGCCTGCTCCCCGCCGCCCCTTTGTTCTCCGTCCTTAAGGATGAACTAATCAAATCCATTTTATTTTAACAGACATTATGTAAAGGAAGCTGCGACATGAACAGTGGGGGGAGACCTTCAAGCTGTGTCTAGCAGCCTTGAAGAGGAGGACGGTATCGGCGCCTCGGGGATCTCGTTAATCAGCGTCTTTTCATGAGGCCTGGAGGAGGGATTGCTTGATAGATGACTATCTTCGCTAATCAGTTATGATCAGGCCTTCCTAGAATGGCGAGGTGGCTCCGCTTTGTCCAGTGGGACGATCGTGTATAATTGTTCCCAGACTGTTGGCCGAAACAGCTGTCGGGGGGTTGGCACGGGCTTCGCGGCGTCCTCAAGGTCTCTGAGGCTCTTTCTTTGTATAAACGGTGCAGAGATTTTACTCCTTTCCTGTAGCTGACTTCTTGAAGGACCGTTAACTCTATTAGGGCTTTTCCTCTGCATGGCCACTCTTTGTTACATGAAAGGGCCCGCGACCCTGCAGCGGGGGCCCAGCGCCTTTCATCCCCGTCTGGATCCTGGCCCACTGCGGCTTGAGGACTGGGAGTGTGTCAAAGTCCTGGGCCTTTTAATTATGTTTCAGCCTTTTAAGGAGCCTGTACATGAAGGCAGAGATGGAAACATATGCAGGGAAACATTTTATATCCAATTTAAGGATTCCACCAAAGGGCTCTCTCCACTGGGGCCCAGTCAGAGCCCCCACCTAGATCAAAGATAGCCTGGAGTTGAGGAAAGACTCTTTGTTGGAAGTAGAGTGGCACTACTTTATGAGCAGAAATGACAACGTGGTAGATGGATTAAAAATAGCATAAGAAGTGTAGAAAACAAAGAGAAAATGTTTTCAGATTTCTCCCCATCCAAATTAACTAGCTGTCTTCTTCTTCTTCCTCCTCCTCCTCCTCTTCTTCTTCTTTTGAGCCTACTGGCATAGTGGGTGACGTGTTGGCCTGCCAACTGTAAAGTCAGCAGCTCCAGCCCACCAGCTGCTCCCCCAGAGTGAGGCAGCTCTGCTCTAAAGATTTATACTCCAGAAACGCTGGGGAGCAATGCTACTCTGTCCTACGGGGACACGATGGTTGGGAACTGACTTGATGACAAAGAGTTGGTTATTAATTTTTTAAGTTGCATTTATGAGTACGTAAATGTGTACATCTATTTCACAGAGTCCAAATGGAATCTTATGTTTGGCTCTCAGCTGTCAAGCTTCACATTATGGGAATAGTATTTTACAGATCATGATCTGATCAAAATTGAAAATGACTGAGCAATATCCCATACAGTTCCACTACCATCACTTATTTACCTATTCATCAATTTGAAATGGTGGGTGCGTCTTTAATCATAGTACAGCTCAATGGATCTAGGCATAGAAATCCGCACCCCACCCCACCCCTTGGGTTTATTTTCATAGAATACAATACATCCATTTGGATCACTGGGACAAACGCCATCAAGTGACTTCATCTTAGGGTACAGAATTGCACATTGATTTCATGAAGCGTCCTGCCACCTGCCCTGTCCTCGGTGATTTCACCTGAGTTCATCAGCAGTAGGTTCACCCGGGTCCCATTATAAGCACATTGGATGCTGCTTGGGGAAGAAAGAGTGGACTTGTCTCAGGGGTGAGACACATGTTTGGCAAAATCGTGTATGGTAGGGATGAAGGCCGTCTTCTGAGACAAGGGCCTATCCTACTGAAGACAAGGGTTGGAAAGATGGCAGAAACACTCCTCTCCCGGAGCACCTGCCTGCGTCCATTTGCCACTCCCATCAGTGTGGCCGGGGAGAGCCACGTGGGTTAAAATGCAGCATTGCATTTTAATGCAGTTTAATGAAATGCGGGCTCCATGCAAATCCTGTGGCATGGGAATTGCTCAGGCCACCAAAATGAAACCACAGTCCTCCTCAACCTAGTTGCAGATCCAACTAAAACCTAGCTCACTGGGCAATAACACAGACATTTTGGCGGGGGGGACCGAAGGGAGACCTTTGTGCAGACAGATGCCTCTGAAAAATCAACCCTTCGGAAGACGGCAGCGGATGAGACAAGGCTGGGGTTTGTTTCGGGCTGCTGGCTAAGCAGCTGAAAACAACGCCTCTGACAAGCTCTGAGCTGGCATGTCTGGGCACTGCATCTGAGGCAGTCGTGTGCCCACTCTCCCGCTCTAGCTGTCTACTCCCCACTCCAGCCTAGTCTCTGGCTGCCCCTGCACCATCCCACCTCTGCTGATGGCTCCGTCTCCTTCCAGGTTCTGATCTACAATGGTCAGCTGGACATCATCGTGGCTGCCCCCCTGGTGGAGCGCTCCTTGATGGCCATGAACTGGAAAGGCCTCGAGAGATACAGGACGGTGCAGAGGAAAGTGTGGAAGATCTTTAAATCCGACGATGAAGTGGCTGGCTATGTGCGGCAAGTTGATAACTTCTGCCAGGTACGGGAGACCCCATGGGAGCATGTGGCTTGTGAGAAAGGTGTGTGTGTGTGTGTGTGTGTGTGTGTGTGTGTGTGTGTGTGTGTGTGTTTAGATACAGCCTGATGGGCTTTCAGGCAGAATGTCTTCTGCAGCTTCACTTCCTATGAACAATTCATACTAAAATGCATAGACACATATTTCACTACTGTTCAGGAGATAAGATGCCAATTCAAAAGATAATAACACTCAGCTGTATTATGTCCTAGGATTGCCATAACAGAATAACTCCACTTGAATGGCTTATGACAACAGAAAACCATAGTCTCTCAGTGTTAGAGATTAGATGTACAAATTCAGTGTGTCCACAAGGGCAAGACCTCGTGGGCTCCGAGGGAGGGCCCTTCCTTGTATCTCTCCACTTCTATTACTTTCAGGCATTCCTTCCCTTCTGAAGGTACATCTTCACAAGACCACTGTCTCCCTCTGTTTATCCCTCTGTTTCTTCTCTTGCCCAAATCATTCAGATTAGATTAGGACCTTTCCTACCTACTCCAGTGTGAACAAATGTTAGCGAATACCAGCTTCTGAGAAGCTATTTCCAGACAAGCTCACATTCACAGGCATGGGGGTTAAGACCTCAATCTTACAATCCAATCCATAACATCAGCCCTAAAAAAATGAATCATCAATGATGGGATTATCTGCTGGGGAATTTGAGACATCACTTCACCTACTGATGGTCCTTCTGAAGGACCGATGGCCATGATCTCCTATTACACTTGGAACCCCAGTACACATCTCTCTGGCTGTTATCTCTAATCATGCCACAAAACAGAACTGCCACCAAACTTGGAGGACCCACAGGTTTATGACTGCTACTGCCCCTCCACCACGCAGTCAGCAGGCCCATGGTTGCTGGACCTAAAGATAAAGGTGGCCCCTAGCCAGTGCTGTGCACCCCACTTCCAGGCTGCAGGGCTAGCCTTCTCAAGGATGATAGGGCATGTTCCATGATGACATCATGGTTACACCATGCACCTGCAGAAAGTTCTCGGCAGAACTAAGAAATCCCCAAGATAAGCTTTTGCTTAGTCAAGAGGAAGAATTCCCCCCTTCCTGCTTTGACTTTTGTCCCCCTCCAATTTTTTATCTGTGGCAACCTCCATACCCCAATTCTATACCTTTGTGTGTTTGGAGTGACAGATTTCAGAAATCCATGTATTCCATTAGGCTTCAGATAGAAATGTATCAGAGGCACACTGCCTAATAAATTCATTGCTTGGAGACAGTAAGAGAGTTCACTAAGAATTCCTTAAGAATGATGATCCCGGGTGATACTACGTATTATTCATTCATGTTACTAGAAATTATGCATATTCTGATGCAAAAAGGCAAACTTGTCCCCCAGCACCACTCCAGGAGAATAAACAACATACAAGAGCTTTAAATACTACACAAAATGGAATTATCTTGGACAAAAGAAATAGCCCAGATTCATTTTAGGCGACCACGTGAGGGGAAATTCTATTTTCAAAAAGTTCGTGGAGAAACATTATAGTTTCAAAATTAAGATCAATGATACCAAAGAATTATATACTGGGGAAATGGCGAACTGAATGAATCAGAAAGGAAGTAATCCTGGCAGCTTGGGTTCTGACCATGAAATGGGAAGGGGAGAAAGAAGAATCTGTCTATATGCAGGGGAGTCCCGGAGAGAGGGAGGGAACGTGTTATGCACATCCCTGTCTGCTTCTGTGAACTTGGACACAATCCTGTATTCAGCCTGACTTGGAAGCCACAATAAACAATTGACTCTGAAGGGCTGAGCCCAAACTAATGGATTTTCAGGACTGGGTGACACGCTCTTAATTGCAAAATAATCTAGGTTTGATGTTTATTGCTTACTTGGCTGTGTTTACATGACATAGATTATATAGCAATTCAAACATGTTGATGAGAAGGGAAACTCAATGACTTCAGCATCTTCCATTGCATTTTAGTAGATCTCCATGTGCAGAGACATAGTTTATATAACCGGAACAGTAGCATACAATGTTGATCTTGCTTTGTGCTTTTGTAAAAATTAAGTGATTGATTCAATTATGGAAGACCATAGGCAAATGCACAGATCATAAATGCACAGGGAACTAACCCTTCACAAAGTGGACCTACCAAAGGGAGCATCCTCTAGATACGAACGTGGATGCAACTTGATTTCCTTGTAACTGTTATTCTCCTTCCAAAGGTTACCACAATCCTAATTTCTCATACCTATGTCAGTATTGCCAGTATTTGAACTTTATATAAATGAAATGATTCTCTATATACTTCTTTCTGAGCAGCACCCCCCACCCCCGCTGCCTCTCTCTCTCATATATATATACTTTAATCATTTTATTGGGGTTCATTCAACTCTTATCACAATCCACACATACATCAATTGTGTGAAGCACACTTATACGTTCGTTGTCCGCATTCTCAAAACTCTCACTTTCCGCTTGGGCTCCTGGAATCAGCTCATTTTTCTTTCCACCCCCTCCCTCCCCGCTCCCCCTTCCCTCATGAACCCTTGACAATTTATAAATTATTATTTTATCATATCTTACACTGCCCGGTGTCTCCCTTCACCAACCTTCCTGCTGCCCATCCCCCGGGGAGGAGATTATATGTAGATCCTTGTAATCAGTTTCCCCTTTCTACCCCCACCCCCCTTCCCTCTTCCTTCCTGGTATCGCCACTCTCATCACTGGTCCTGAGGGGTTCATCTGTCCTGGATTCCCAGTGTTTCCAATTCCCATCTGCACCACTATGCATCCTCTGGTGTAACCAGGTTTGCAAGGTAGAATTGGGATCATGATAGTGGAGGGGAGGAAGAGTTTAAGAACTAGAGGAAGGTTGTGAGTTTCATCAATGCTACACTGAACCCTGAGTGACTCATTTCCTCCCCACTACCCCTCTGCAAGTGATGTCCAGTTGTCTACAGATGGACATTGGGTCCCCATCACACGGTCCCCTCATTCATGATGATATGGTTTTACCCCCCCCCTTTGGTGCTTGATACCTGGTCCCCTCAACCCTTCGTGATCACACATGCTGGTGTGCTTCTTCCATATGGGCTTTGTTGCTTCTGGGCTAGATGGCTGCTTGTTCACCTTCAAGCCTTTAGGACCCCAGACGCTATATCTCTCGATTGCCGGGCACCATCAGCCTTCTTCACCACACTTACTTATGCACACATTCGTCATCAGCGTTTATGTGGGGAAGGTGGTCACACAATGATGGTTTTTGTTCTTTGGTGTCTGCTACCTGATTCCTTCAACACCTCGTGATCACACAGGCTGGTGTGCTTCTTCCCTGTGGGCTTTGCTGCTTCCAAGCTAGATGGCGGCTTGTTCACCTTCAAGCCTTTAAGATCCAAGACGCTATATCTTTTGATAGCTGGGCACCATCAGCTTTCTTCATCACATTTGCTTATGCACACATTTGTCTTCAATCATGTCAGGAAGGTGGGTATCATGGAATGACTGTTTAGCTGAGCAAAGTGTTCTGGTATTGTGGGAATGCGCATATGGAGGCCCATTGTCCACCTGTTCCCCTACTAAACCTGTAAATATATGCACATAGATCTATTTACCCCATAATCCTTTATCTATTCTGCATGAAGTTATTGCTAATGTACTTTCATTGCTATGCCAATCCAAAAAAAAAGCCAACAAACAAGGAAAACCCACTGCCATCAAGTCAATTCTAACTCATGGTGACTCTATCTAGGGTTTCCAAGACTTTGTAAAGCCTCTGCTTTTTCCCACGGAACAGCTGATGGGTTTGAACTGCCAGTCATGGGTAGCAGTACAATGCTTACTCGACAGCATGGCTAAGGCTGCTTTGTTGTTATCTATTCCTCTGTAAAATACTCTATAATCTACACACCCGGTGGTGCTGTGGTTAGGCATTGAGCTGCTAACCAAATGGTGATGATAGAAAGAAGAGGCTGTCTGCCCCTCTAAAGATTTATGATCTTGGAAGCTCTAAATAGCATGACTATGAATTGGAATCCACTCGATGGCACTGGAGTTTTACTATCAACAGAAATTATATATTTAGATGACTTGTTTCAAAATTTTAATAATCAGAAATAACGCTGCTACAAATAATATTATATGTCTTTGGTATATAATTATGTACTTTTCCGTGGCATGTACCTGAGAGTGGAATGGGCTACAGTCCCACCAGCAAAATACAAGACTTTGAATTGTTCTGCATTCTTTCTAACCCTGGCTTGTCAGTCTTCTTGGCTTTGGGCATTCTAATGCGTGTGTAGCGTATATCATTATGATTTTAATTTGCATTTCTCTGGTGACTAATGAAGAGGAGCATCTTTCCATATATTTATGAGCCATGTGGATGTCTTCTTGTGAAGCACCTGTTCATGTTGTTCGCCCATGTCCCCCTCCGATTCACTATCTTTTCTTGATTTGTATCAGTTCTTTCTATCCTCTAGATATGCGTTCTTTGTCAGTTATAGACACTGAAAATATCTTCTCTCATTCTGTGGTTTATTTTCCACTTGCTTAATGATGTCCTTGATGAACAGAAATGCTTGATTTTCAGCTACTCCAAGATGAGGCTAAGTCAAAAATATTGCCAACAACCTTTATTAAATGAGAACATCAAAATATGAGGCTATTCCTTTGACTTATCCCTTATGTGGGTCTATGTATTTCTGAAGGCAGTGTTTCTGTACCTCTAACCTATCTCCAAAGAATTCAGCACTCCAAGTTACATCAGTTTCGACATCCTCAAGGGTCTTAAATCGTGTTTCTTTTAAATAATGAGCTTTGCGAACAAACATGTTTGAAAGAGCAAGATTAGGACTAGGGTGAGTGGATTGATGTTACCAATGCAGTTCTCAGAGGGCAGCTCTGCTAACCTCAGGGAACAAGCAGGGGCTTTGTCCTGGTGGAAAATATTCCTCATTTTACCTTCCTGGCTGTTTTTCTCACCAACGTAGTTTTCAG